TATAGAAAGCCAATCTTACTGCAAATTGTTATCTGGCTTAAGTTTGCCACTGGGGAAGATCTCCAAAGGATATGAGGCAAAGGGAAAGATTTGTTAAAAATTTCTCTTCATGAGCTGATGTTTATCATTCAGTTCGGGTCTCATCACAATGATAAAACACTTAGGAAGGAAGATACACACCAATAGTCCAGCACTGGAGGAGATCATGGAGAAGATCTCCACAGCCAATGTATATTTCCCCCTTCTGCTTAGATAGGTTGGGATAAAACACAGCCAAACACTGCAGAAGACCAACATGCTGAAGGTGATAAATTTGGCTTCGTTGAAACTGTCAGGTAACTTCCTAGCTAGAAAAGCAGCAGAGAAGCTAATAAGAGCAAGAAAACCCATAAAGCCCAAAACACAGTAGAACATGACCGAGTCTTCATTGCACTCCAGGATGAGTTCTTCAGGTATTGAGTGTGCATCAAAATCTGGGTATGGTGGGGATGTTATCAGCCACACAGCACAAACACATATTTGGACAAGGGAGCAGGCTAGAAGAATGAAACCGACCATTCTTCCCCCCACCCATTTTCTCAATCTGGAACCAGGTTTGGTGGCCATGAATGCTAACACCACAACAAAGGTTTTAGCCAAGACACAAGAAACCGCCACTGAAAAGATGAGCCCAAAAGCTGGCTGTCGAAGGAAACACACAATTGTATTGGGTCTCCCAAGAAATAGGAAGACACAAAGGAAAGAGAGGAGGAGTGAAACTAGGAGAATGTAGGTGAGATTCCGATTGTTGGCTTTGACAATGGGAGTATCTTTGTGTTTCATGAAGATTGTGATGACCAAAGTTGTCTTCAAAGAAAAGCAAAGAGAAAGAACAATCAAACTGATCCCCAAGGGTTCTTCATAGGACAAAAATGTGATCCGCTTTGGAATGCACATATTTTTGTCAGGATTTGGATATTGGTCTTCCGGACATGGAGAGCAGTCATTCACATCTGAAAAAGAACACATTGATTGGAATTGATGAAGCGGATTATAGACAGTGTTGTACCCTCATGGCTTAATCCCATTATACTATATTTGGAAATTTCCTACCCTTCTTTTTTGATATTTTCCCCTCTGGACACAGATGACAAACATAGCAGCAAAATGATTCCCCCTCTAACTTTTCCTTGCTGTATCCTGTCTCACAGGGATCATTACACAGAGATAAAGGCAGTTCCTATCAATGAAGTAAGAAGAATGCTTTTAGATACAAAGGGAAGAAAAAGGAAGTTGTTGAAGATATATTGTTACTGTGGAATCAACTGCATACAAATGGATTGATAAGGAGAAGCCATATGATTACATTGTTTTGTTATCTAATTGAACTGACATAATAATTCATTCAATATCTATAATTATTGTTGTCAATGGCTTTCTATATCTATGAAGGACAGTCTCCAGTGATAACTTTTGTGCTGGTTAAAGATGTTTTTCTCAATTTCTTAATTTTGAAGTCACCAGACTGATGAAATTTAGTACACTGGATTATAGCTTTTACTTCACAATAGTAACATCAGAATGGCTGCACCATGTTGTATTCTTATAATTAAAATATAATTAATTTTTTTAAAAAACCATTCATTTTTAACAAAGGGCCAAAGTACTGAATAAAATATTCTATGCAAGGGATGTCTAAGTCAATTTCATTGAGGTCCATATCAGGGTTTTGTTTACCTCAAGTGGGGGGCCAGGGGGCATGGCCATATCGAAGTAACTCATGTCTGTGTTATCTGTGGCAGCTTAGGCGACTCCCCCCAGATTCCATTTTTGGCTGGGACAGCTTCTTGCTGAGGTCTGCCAGTGAAAACAGACACAGGCACCAAGACTCCATATTCGCTGGCAGAGGTATTGAAGGCTGGTACTTTGCTGTTTCCAGGGTGGCCCCCCGGACATATTTAAGCACTCTGAGGGCCAGATCCAGCCTGTGGGACTTGAGTTTGACACCCCTGTTCTATATCAACAATTAGAAAAGTAAATATTCTTACAGATATTTTTTTTCCTTCCCTAGAACATTGGTATTTATGCTAGTTCATAGAAGATGCTCTAAGAATTACATTAATAAAGATATTTTTATCCTACATAAATGAAGGAGAGCAGTCTACATTCAGACAAATAACCTGATTAAAGCTGCCTGGCCACATGATGGAATGTACAGAAATACTGAAGAACTTGTCTGCTGGAGCTGTGGGATCCACTGTTCCAACTCGGACCCTAATGAATGACTGGTTTGGGAATGTAACCCAATTGATAATATCATATCCACCAATGAATTGTCCATTTTCATCAAAGGAGACCTTCTCACCAACACTGTTGTTGAATCTGACACTTCTCAGAAAAGAATGAACCTGAAATACAGAGACAGCCAGAGAGAAACAATGAGAAAAGGACAGAAGAAAGGAGAAAGAATTTATAATATATTTATTTATATACCACTCACATTCTAGACAACTCCTACCCTCAAAATGACATTATAGAGAAATGCACATAAGAATAACTAGACGCAAGAACAGTTTTTTTTCCTGAATGCCATCACTTGGCTAAAGAAATAATTCTTTCAACTGTCCAACTATTTACTAAGTCTGCATTACTATTACTATCAATCTTCTTATTGTTCCTATCACCCATCTCTTCCCACTTATGATTGTATGACTGTACTTTGTTGCTTGTATCTTTACAATTTATATTGATTGTTTCCTAGTATGGTTTGATTGCTTATTTATACCCTATGACTATCATTAAATATTCTACCTTATGATTCTTGATTAATATATCTTTTCTTCTTATGTACACTGACAGCATATGCACCAAAAACAAATTCCTTGTATGTCCAATCACCAAAGAATTAAATTGAATATATGTTCAAAACAGACATGGATTTTTAAATAATTCTTTTTTTTTAAACAAATTTTATTCAGTTTTTCAGTTTGAAAACAAAAATCTCCTTTTAGTGGACAACATATTTCCGGGTCATCACCTTTACATACAAATATGACAGCAATTATACATTCATATATGCATACTTAATTCTATTATTACCTTTTCCATTCCAAATTTTCAGTAAGGAGAGAAACAAACACATTAATTCTAGCCTCTTTCATTAATCTCAATCGAAACATCTTTTTGTTTTATTTCAATTATTTAAAATATAATTCTTTAATATTTATTTTAAAAATAAAAATAAACAGTATGTATTTGCCTAATAATAGTAATAATAAAATTACCAATGTCTCTCCTTTCTTTTAATAGTCTATATTAACTTATTAATTTAGCTAGTTCTTTGTCATATTCCCTTTCCATTACACATTTTTAATGGATTCTAAATTAATAACATTCTCTCTCTCTCTCACACACACACACAAAACAAATATAAGTTTCCCCCCTTTTACTATGTTGAATGTGGCACCTTAATAATTAGGATGTACCTTTATTTCCTCATCTTAATTCCCAATAGACGATTAATCATTACATCTTTTCAACTGAATTCCGCAGCATATTTTCCCCCCTTAATTTTAATAAGAGTTATCAGTATCTATATTACCCTATTTTCTAGATATTTTTAATTGCAGAAATATTCTTATTACCACTTGTCACCCTGCAGGATCCTCTTTTTAATTCATCAACCATTATCTCTGATAAAACAATTTTTTTTCAACATTTTACTATTTCTGCATTTCTTTCTTTCATATGCCTGTTTTTTACTACTTCTCCTCCCCCTCTTTTCCCTATATCTTTTCTCATTCCAGTTTATATCCCTCTCTTTCTTCTGCTTCTAGGATGTGGTGCTCATGTCTGTTTCTTGGCCAAGGGAGCCAGCATTATCCAAAGACATTTTCTAGACATATGGCAGAGTGATGGACCGTAGTAAGGAGGTGGATTCCAGATTGGAGGGAGAGCATTTCAGAGAAGTAAAAGGCAATTCATTTGAGAGAAAAAAGATGAAGGTAACCACACTTCATTATAGTTCCCAGGGTATATTGTAGAGATACACAGTAGAATGCTCAGTCCTACAAGATTTTGCCTACAGGCGTGAAACAATAAAGAAATCAGGGTGGAAAAAATCATCATGTGTTACCAAGAGGTTTTTGGGCTTGGAAAGCAGTTATTTCATGGACAGAAACACATTCTAGGTATTTCAAATTGTTAATTCAATGCTACACCTCACTTTTAGATCTAAGGTCAATTCCCCTAAACAACATTGTTTATTACGGTTAAGGACAGACCTTGAAACTACAGATATGGTAGTTTCTTACCTGCCACCACATCTGATTGTGAAACTGTTTCTGTCCTTCTTTCACTATTTTTCTGGATTTGGATAAATACAGAGATTGCAAAGCATGTGCTACAGCATAGACTGCATTGTAAATATTATAACTGTGTCCACTGATGCGGGTTTCAAACACAGATGTAGGTAGAGTCCCAAGCTTCTCCTGTCCAGTACAAGTTTCCTCAGATTTCTCAGTTCTTGAGTTGGAGAAGAAACAACCAAATGCCTGTTCCCAGAAATCTTTCCTAAAATGATCCTGATAGTCATTGTTTGGACTTAGATTGTGAAGGAATTCCTGGAAATTTTTTACCTCTTTTGTGTGAACTGCAAAGGATAAAGCCCCATGTAGGAAATGGACATCCCAGGATTTATGAAGGGAAAGTGAGGTGTACTCTGTCTGCGCATTTATAAGCCAGATCTTTGTCTTTTTTGGTATGTCCTCCACTTCTGACAACCGGAGAAAACTTCTCAGAACTGATATAGTTTGAATTGTACCATATACAATTACCACATTGGCCTTACTCTTCATGAGAACATGGTATATATGTAGACATTCATCTATTATATCAGTAAAATCACTATAGAAATCTGCATTTGGTATCTGTGCTATGAACTCAGTGCAGATGCCATTCTCAGAAAAGATAGGGAGCACTTCCTGGACAAATTTCTCTGCTTTCTTATTCTTTGCTACAAGAATTCCAACCCAAATCCATCTTAAGTACTTCAATAACAGCATGAAGCCCGTATGTTCATAGGATTCACCTGGAAACATTTGCTGGAAGAAAACCGCTTGAGTCTCTTTTTCCATGGCTGGAGCAGAGCCATAGGTCAACTAAAGGAAGACAAACATATGCAAATGGAAAGTGAACTTCTGACACTGGGTACATTCATATGAGGCTTTGGGTTTCTTTGAGTTTATATACTGAAACATTATGAAACTGCGTTTATTTAGAAAGCAACCAAGATGCAACCAAGATATCCCCTGAGGTTGAGAAAAAGGGGGAAAAAAGGGATCAATCTATTTTCCAAAGCACCTGAAAGTGGGACAAGAATCAAGGGATGGAAATTAATCAAGGAGAGGACCAGGTTAGAACAATGAATGAGTTGAATGGCTTGCTTCAGATGTTGTGGGTCACTACATCACTGGAGGTATTTAAGAAGAGATTGAACAACCACTGATATGAAATGGTATAGGGTTATATTTGAGCAGGCATTGGGCTAGAAGACTTCCAACTCTTAATTCAGTGTTGGGTATTGGTTTTTCTATGCCGTGTAACCACACTTTCTGTTCAGAATTATTACTAGGGTAATCCTATCAATCAAAAAATAATATCCTGCATTCTGAAAGTTGTCTCCTTTTTTAGAGAAAAAAGCACACAGACTTCTGGTAATGTATGGCAATTTAATAATGCATATCTTCTGCACGTCTTACCTGAGGAATTTTGTAGATGGACAATATAGCTACCATGTGAAGAGAGATATCAGGTCCCCCAATCACTGCAGCCAAAAGTTTTGGGACCCCACATTTGTAGTTAGGGATGAATTTTCCATGAGTGAAAGGCAGCAGCATCGAAGCAAAGTAAGTCCACCTGGGACTGAAATGACTGTCAAAAATATGAAACCCCAGCGTGATATTAGGAAGGATCTGCTCGATTTCATTGATCTCTTTTAGACTAAACGCTAAGGCCAGGACATGCTGGTAATTCTGAAAAACTATTCTGTAAAGAAAAAAAAATACATTAAGAAATGTCTGCTTCATAAAGTGCTGGGATCCAATTTTTTTTACTACTGGTTCTGTGGTATGTCTTGGTGAGCATGGCACGGGAAGGATCCTGTAAAATCTCCAGTCAGAGGTGTTATTTGCCGGTTCTGCAAACAACTCAAAATTTCTAGTACCGGTTCTCCACAACTGGTTAGAACCTGCTGAATACCACCTCTGGCTTCATACCATGGCACCTACAATCCATCAATACAACACATTTTGTAGAATGTGTCAGTGCGAACATCTAGAAACATTGAAATCCAATGGTAGAAAAAGAGTTAGTGGTATTTTCAGTCACCCTCTGAGTTATTTGTTTGCTCATGAATTTATTTGTTATTTTTATATTGTTTCAATTTTTGTCAGATGATGGACATGTGTTTAGCCCAAGCATGTTCAAACTGAGTTACTGATGATTGACCTGTTACCTTTGCTTGGAAGTTGGTTCCAAGCTTGCAGTACACTTTCTGTGAAGTAATAATTTCTAACATGACTTTTGGACTTCAGTCAGTTTGAAGTTTTTGATTTTTGCTTAATATTGAATTAATTAATTAATTAAGTTAAAACTAGACATTATTTGCTTACAAGAAATCCATATTAAGAAACAACACAATAAAATTCTGGAACATCCCAAAATTGGAGAGTTTTATACCTCGTTACCACAACAAAAGAAGAGCGAGATAACTCTCTATGTAAAAGAAGCAATGAACACTAAGCAAATTTTTACAGACAAGGTAGGGAGGATTTTGATGGTGCAGATGACAATGAATTATGAACAGATATTATTAGCAGCAGTATACACACCAAGATGACTTTTATATAAAACTTCACAAGAAAATAATAGAACGGGAATATGAAAATATATGCATAGTAGGAAGTTTAATACAATTGTGGATATGGAATTAGACTATAAAACTGATATTAAAGGATAAGGAGGACTCAGAGTACTATTTAATTTGGAACATTTGGTACCAATGGTTCAACAATAAAGTACAATAAGGAAAGGTTACAAAAGGAATTTAAAAAGGAGAAAAAAAGGAAATAAAATTGGAATACTAGCAAACAGAGAGTGAGGGAGAAGTTATAGAAATTGAGGCACTGTTACGAAAAAATGAGATTTAGATAAATATCCAGATTAGGATTTATAATTACCTAGATATAGTGTAGAAATATATAGAAATATGCAATAATGAATGATAAAAATATGTTCCCTCCCCTCCTCCTCCTCCCATATTTATGGAATATTAAACTACACCACATAGTCTATAAATACCCTTGTTGGTTTTTTTGGATTTATATACATATATTAAGTGTCAAAATGATATTCTTTTTTTCTTTTGTTTTTTTTTCTTCCCTTTTTTCTTGAATTAGTGACCTGTAAAGATGTTATAGCTTTGTTTATTAACATTAATTAAAAACTGTGAATTAGAATAGTTAATATGAAAACAACACTGTCAAATTCTAAGTGTACATATCGTACTTAGTGTACTGCCAAGAAAATGATGTTGAATGGTGCTGATATAATTTCTATTACAGAAACTTTTGTAAAGCTTTTTAACATTTTAATTTTTGTAAATTTTTAAATATTTTTATTATATGTTATATATTATTTTATAATGTTTTAATATAGATATGATGTGGATGTCAGCAGAGCTAAAACTCAATGTACAGGAAACAAATATAGAAATATGCAACTGGGCAGAATACAACCTGATAAAAATTACATGGGAGGGGAAAAAAAGGAAACTAAGATGGACAGTGAATCAAACCATATTAAAAGAAAAGGGGTTTATCCAATTTATGGAAAAAGATTTGGATTTTTTTTTCTTCAAAGAAAATAGAAAAGAAGAGATGTTTCTACAAAGATTATGGAACACAGCTGAGGCGTATATTAGAGGGCTAATCATAACATATATGAAAATATGGAAAAATAAAAAGAGACAAAATCAAAAGACATTAGAAGTAGAATATAAGAGACTAAAGACAGAATTACAAAAAGAACCATAAAAAGGGAATATTAAAAATAAAATGGAATTAATAAAGCACAAGCTGAATTTAATAGATAAAAAAGGACATGCGCAAAAAATTAAGAGTGCCAAACAAAACTTCTTTGAAAATGCAAACAAACCAGGAAGATGGTTGGCATACAAAGACCAGGCCTAGATCGGCTACTGGCAAAACTATATAGAGACTTACAATACATCTTAAGTGCTCCAATGTTGGAAGTGCTATTGGTGGAAGCGAAAGTACCAAATTCATGGATGGAAGCATTTATTACTCTCATACCGAAAGAAGACTCAGATTTACAACAGATAAAAAACTACAGACCAATATCCTTATTGAATGCTGATTATAAGATATTTGCCTCAGTAATTGCAGAAAGGCTTAAAATATTTTAAAACCAATCTATATATCCAGATCAAAATGGCTTCTTACCTAAGTGATAAATCAAAAACAATATGAGAATAATTTTAAATACACTAGAGTATTATGAAGTACACTCAATGAAGCAAATGGCATTGATCTTCCTATATGCAGAGAAATCATTTGACAATGTGAATTGGCAATTTATGTTAGCACAGCTAAAAGGCATGGATTTTGGGGAGAGATTTATAAATATGATTAAAGCAATATATTATAAGCAAACTGCAAAAGTGATAGTAAATGCAGACTTAGTATTTAATAATCATTAAAAAAGGTACAAGACGAGGATGTTCCTTGTTTCTCTATTATTTATACTGGAAGTACTAAATAGACAAGATATAGAGATAAAAGTTATGGAAATAATAAAGGAAAAGGATAAATTACATCATTGATAGGAAGAAGAGGCAAAGTTAAAATGAATATATTGCCAAGATTATTGTACTGATTTCAAACCATTCCAATAACATTGGAAAAGAAATACTTTTAGGAACTTAACAAAATAATATTGGTGACATGCCTAAGTTTTGGGCTTTCATCGTGAGCCCGACATGTGCCCCCCCCATGGCTCCCCCTGGGAGACAAATGCTACAATTATATTATGTTCATTCTGATGCATCCCTCCCACCAACCCTGTGGGGATCCTATGGTGGTATATGTGCCATGGCGCTGCTATATCAGTATTCTTCACCCATGAAGATATTCCTCATCTATAGGGTATCCCTTCCACCTGCCAAGATATTGCATAACCCCCCTCCATGTACAAGAATCTACAATCTCCTCTATCTCATAACGGTCATCTCTCACAGGGTCTGGAGCCCTGGGTTCTAATCTCATCATTTCCATGGTTTTCACGAGGCTGCTATGAAATACAGAGTGTATCCTTTTGAATCGTGATGGTAGGTTAAGTCAATAAGTAACAGGATTAATTACCTGAGTTATTTGGAAAGGACCAATAAACTTCAGACTCAGTTTTTTACATGCTACCCCTAGGTTTACATATTTGGTTGAGAAATATATCCAGTCCCCAATTGAAAAAGTGGTTGATCAGCTTGGCTTTTATACGCTTCTGCAGCTTTGGACAATACCTTCTTCACCTCTGTCCAATGGGATTGTAGATTATCTGTCCACTTTGTAATATAACAATGCAAATATTGTTCTATTGCAGCATTTGTATTTCCAGCTGCCCCATTGGTACATGGATGATATGCCACACTTAAACCTTGAGACGAGCCAATTATATGTATGAATTCTTTCCAGATGCGTGTAGTGAACTGAACCCCTCTATCAGCAATAATATGTCTAGGGACTCCTTGTAGATGATAAATATTCTTTTTTCTTTTGTAAATTTTATTGGTTTTTAAAGACAAACAAAAACAAGCAAAACATAAAAACATCCAAATTTCTTCCATAAGTGTACAAGCAGTGTGTCGGATGTTTTACAAATTTTTTGTGCATCCATTTCATAGTCTCAATTACAGTTAAATTGCATATTAACTCATATTATCAATCAAAAATTGAATACCCTAGTATCATTATTAATCAATCATTTGACTATAATTTTGTTCATTCATACTTTGCAAGATAACTATAATTTACTTAGTTTATTTTATAACAATTCATATAATCCTCCCAAATCTATCCTAGAAACATTTTATAGATATAATAATAAAAAAAGAAAAGAAATACATCTTTATATATTCATTGTTTTCTAAAATTCTACATATTTTAATATTATATTTTATTATCTAACCATTGATAGAAAAGGTATCCGCTGTGTGAAGTCCTTTTCCTTTAAAATAGTATTATTTAACATCCATCTCGATCTTCTTTTTTGTCCCTTCCATTTAATTGTCACTGGATTGTGGTCTACCCAAGTACTTGTTTCAATATTTGTTTCTTGAATATTAGATATTAGTTCTGTTGAAATCTAAATCATATCTATTCTGGACCATGATAAATGTCTATTTGAGTAAAAAGTGTATTGTTTGATTTTAGCATTTCTTTCTCTCCATATATCTTTTAAGTTTATTTCATCTATCATTTTAAAAAAGGATTTAGGGAGAGTCTTTCTATTTTGCTTTGTTGTTGTTGCTGTATAGTCCAATTTGTTGTCTACAATTCCATTGAAATCTCCCATCATAACTATATTAACATAGTCCAGTTCAATTATTTTCATGTGTAATTTTTTATAGAATTCTTCTTGTTTATCATTCGGAGAATAAATTGCAATCAGGAGTGTTTTCATATTATTGTCCATTATTTCCACCATGAATACTCTTCCATCTTCATCAGTATGAATCAATTTTGCTGAGATGGTCTCTTTAATATATAAAACCACTCCTCTTTTCTTACATTGAGTCAAAGAAGTAAATATTTTCCCTAATTTTGTCTGAACCAACAGTTGTTCATATTGTTTTTTAATATGTACTTCGTGTAGACAAATAATATCAAATTTTAAATTCTCTAATTTATGAAAAAAATTTCCTTCTTTTAACAGCTGAATTAAGTCCATTTATATTCATTGTAATCAGTTTT